CAAAAAAAAAAAAAAAGCCTGAAAATTGTAGTAGGGTATTAGCAGAATTGTGTGAAGGAGCACTAACGAGTATGTAATCATGTAAAATATCCTGATGGATATTACTACTACTAAGATTAAAAGTGAATTCCCTGCACTGGTGCTCTCTCCTGATAATCATAGAAATACAATTTTAGTTTTAGTTTTTGACCATAGATACCCTTTAAAGGAAAGAGGATTTGATTATTCTGGAGGGAGAGCAAGTTGGATGCAGCTTCACCTGTAGTTGGTTCAGTGCTGCCAAAGAACGGTTTCCTGAACGGAGACCAATCGGTTGAGCACCCTTATATGGAATGGGTACAGGCTGCTCCAACTCACTTGAGTGACGGGAGAGGATGAAAGTTGGTCCGTTGGTACGATGGTGTAGGATTTGTTTTAACCTTTGGTGTGATTCACACAAGCGAACTGACCTCTATTATATTGTGAGGTCAGTGGATTCGGTGGGTGTTCCATTAAGGTAAGACAAATCCGTCAACTCTGGTGGAATATTGTATATCGAGATAGATCTGACAGATACATTGAATACATTTCCCTTAGGACTCAGGATTCAGATTTTTCCAACTATTAAATAAGTTTCGGAGTATTACAAGACTAAGTGGAAATGAACACAGAACAAGAGTTCAACATTTGGAGAAATTAGAAAGAAAACTCAGGAATTTACCAAATTTAAGGAAGAAATAGAGATTGAGGAAAGGAAAGAAAACAAATTTGAGAGAGATACAAGTGGGAGAGCTTGTAGATGGGGGAGTAGAAAATGTGACTCCCACCCAACATGCATCTAGAGGACACACTGGTCACAGAGGGATTCAGATCACAGAAATGTACCTTCAGCCAACTCAGTAGCAGCATGTTATACCCCCTTCCTTTCCAGTGCTGTGATAGTTTGACTGCCAATTACTCAGTCATGTAATAGTGTACCCAAATAACATTTTCATACTTTTTTTTTTAAAAAGACCTTTCTTTTTATTACTACTTTTTTAAATTATTACTACATAAAAGGAAAAAAGCACAAACATTTTAATAAAAAAATGTTTTCCTTATTTTCTATTATAAAACAAATCAAATGAAAATGCCAGGACAGTACAAATACCCCTGAAATTACTCATTTTTGGGAAGAAGACACCACAAAGCAATCTAATTTTTTGCCACCGGTTTTTGGAAAAAAGAACATGCTGGTATTGAAGTGGTTAATCATAATCAGAATAAAAGTAGTTACAAATGTAGTAGTCTAAACACAAGTGGTTCAATTTTACACCTCTCCCAACCTGGGGCAATTGCATATCCTTCCAAAAATGCATTTATGTATCCGTTCTAAAGTGCCGTAGTATGGACTGACTGGATATGCCGCTCAAGAAGCTCTTTGAAAACCGTTGCATTCATCTTTAAGGCCCCATTCATACCAGGGCGTACTTGTAGTTCCCCAGCAGCTGGAGGGCTCTCTTTGTGCGAGTGTAGGAAGTATTGGAAAAAGTAATCTATATATGCAGAGCTGGAGCAGACCTGTGACCCTATAGCCAATCTGACTATACCTTCTCTAATCTCCTCTGATTTGATCCTATACAGTATGTCATCAGTATAAATTCCAGCAAACATGCCAGTGCACAACATACATTTGTTTTTACACCTGAGATTTCACAATCAGATAGTAATGCATGTGGTCTAAGCTGAGACTGCTTTTCTTTGGACGACTGTCAAAAAATGAGCTGAAACATGGCTAAAAACACAGAAAAAAAAACTGAAAATGCCTGTAAAAAGAGCTGAAATGCGCATTAAAAATGCACACAAGCGTGCTGAAAAGCTATCGCACTGGTGTGAATGAGGCCTAAGTAAGCTGTTTAATCTTATGAGATGAAGTGGGGGGCTTAATGTTTATTTACTATATTGTGTTTACTACTGTGATTGGTTCACAGTGATCACATGGCACGGCACAGATCTACTTTAATTGGCTCTTCAGATTTTGCTTGTGATCTTCGCTGTCTAATGTAGTATCACAGGTATCTGCCTGGTGCATAAATGTGTAGTGCATACAAGGACGTTTTAAAATGTCCACTCAGAAGAACAAGTCTCAAGACTGGCAGTTTAGTACAATGGCCAGTCATTTATACAACACTAGAAGATGAGCATGATATAACCCACAAACAAAAGCACAAAACAACGGATAACAATTGAAAGGACAAACCTGAACCCAGATGGATGGGTCTGTATATGTTTGGTTCTCACCAGATTTGGAAGAGATGCCACTTGCAACACACGTATACACTCACTGAATGAACATATTTTACAATTGAATTTTACAAGGGACCAGTTTGTAACCACAACTCGGTTTTTGGAAAAAAGAACATGCTGGTATTGAAGTGGTTAATCATAATCAGAATAAAAGTAGTTACAAATGTAGTAGTCTAAACACAAGTGGTTCAATTTTACACCTCTCCCAACCT